AAGAAATTTTGAAATAGCAATGGGAGTTAAATGGGCTTTGGGAGGTCTGCGTGCTACTGCCCTTTCCTACTGGTGTTGTGGAAACAGCTGCTGAGACTTGCATTCATTTGCATTATATTAAACTGTTTTCCTTTGGCTCCTCAGCTGTTAACTGAGAAGCTCATAGAAGAATTGAGGCTATTTAATCAAATGGCTGCAAAAGAAAAGGATGTGCTTCAGGTAAGACTGTGACTTTTTCAGACTCAACCAGGTAATGAGCGCGTGGTGCTGAGTGAGATTCTGAAGGTTGTTCTGCCTCTCCCGGTGCTGCTCTGTTCTCTAAACGAGCTACAGTGAAAGCCTGCAGTGTGACTCGTCTGTCGTTATATGTGCGTTAAGGAAACTGTATGTGTTACCCCCCTCCTAAATAGAGGGCTTAAAGCAAAGTTTATGTTGGGGCAATGTTAGTTCTCATCTCGGACATTTCAATTTGAATCGTATACCATTGAACTTGAAACCAGGTCAAAGATGAAAGTGCTATTAATGACTGATAGCTTTCAGGTTAGACTGAATCAGTTCCAAAGACGGATGTCAGTCCTGGAAATGGAGCTGTCTCAGCTTAGACCAGGAGAGCTTTAAGTAGAGTAGACTCAAGAGAGAGTTTTAAGACTGTTGCAGGTGGTTGTAAGCACCACTGGCAGAAGACTGATCTGCCAGTCCGGCTGTTATGCTGGAATTTGGAAGACTTGATCTAACTTGGAGAGTGTTGCGGACCAATGACCTCAGGTGGTCTCTCTGGGAATGAAGAAGTGTGCAAGCACAAGCAGCTTCAATAATATTGTTTTGTCTATATACTGACCAGAATAGTCATTGAGTTTTATAGTTCTACAATTCTCGGTAAGAAGTTTGAGAGGTAATTAACGAGAGCGCTATTATATAAGACTTCCTAAACTTTGGTCACAGATGAATTGCCATTTTCCTCAAGGAACAAAGGTAAAAGACATCCCAGTCAGGCTAGACTAATCTTAGTTTAGCAGGTAAGACCCTGCTGAAGAGTTCAAGTGCTTTAGTTGGAGCTGCTTTATAGAACTTGGCTTTGCTGTTCGGTACTTCTGTGTTAGTAAAATGTACTGTACACCAACTTCTCCGCGCAGGCAGCGATGGCTAAGTGGAAATCGGCAGAAGAAGGGCGATGCCGGTCCCTGGAGAAGCATTCCTCCTTTCAAGTGGAAATTAAGGAATGTTCAGCAGTACTTGACGAGTTGGAGCTGCTCCTGGCTATGTGAGGCGCGAGGATGGACTCGACTGTCTTTTTTTTTTTTTTGATGTTTTACTCCTAGTTCGATCGTCTCTGCTTTGCAAACCTAGTTCTCGTGCGAGGTGGTCTTAAAACGACGAGCAGGTCGCTGCGCTCTCCGGTGGGACAGCGCCTGCCGGGGGTGGGACAGGGCTGGGAAGGAGCGGTAGCGGTGTCAGGCACTCGTAGCTCCTGTTGCTCTTCCCGCGTCCGCCGGGGCCTCGCCCGGGCTCTCTGGCTGCGCGCCTCGCTGGAGAACGGCTCGGCCCTTCCAGCCTGTCGGGGCGTTGTAACTATCGGTGTCTTTAACCCATTAAACCTACCCGGAGGACGGGGACATGCGCTGTTATTTCCCCCCGGCAGCGCCGCCCCCTTGCTGCCGCTGACCTCTGCCTCCCTCCCCTTTCCGGGCCCCACCGGAGAGGCGGGCGGCGGGGCGGG